CTTGGTAGCTTCTTTGTGGGAATCAGACCCCATTGGAGGGCTCCTGGAGGATCAGAGTCTCCCTTTTTCTTTGTTTCTCTCTAGACTGTGTTGACCACTCTCTAGGTGAGGACTGAATTTATGATTGACAATTTATGGCTGCTTTGTGGATTCTCCTTCTGTGTCTGTCTCAAGCTTTTCTGTGGTGTTTTTTTTTTTTGTTTGTTTGTTTTGTTTTGTTTTTGTTTTTGTTTTTTTTTACTCCCCTCCTTGATCTTATCTTAGTCCTGAGAAGTTCCAGTGTATTTCAAGGTGTAGTCAGGCCTTTTCTGGGATTTTTGCTTGCATTAGAGTTGAATCAAAGACCACATATAGGGTCTAGCACAGCGAGTTAAAGTCCTGGTCTGCAGTGCTGGCATCCCATATGGGCACCAGTTCTATTCCCGCTGCTCCACTTCCAATCCAGCTCTCTGCTATGGCCTGGGAAAGCAGTACAAGATGGCCCAAGCATTTGGGTCCTGGCACCCGCGTGGGAGACCCGGAAGAAGCTCCTGGTTCCTGGCTTCTGATCGGTGCAGCTCCGGCTGTTGTGGCCATCTGGGGTGTGAACCAGCAGATGGAAGACCCCTTTCTCTCTCTCTCTCTCTCTCTCTGCCTCTGCCTCTGCCTCTGTCTCTATGTAACTCTGCCTTTCAAATAAATAAATAAATCTTTAAAAAAAATACATACACTTTGGGGTTGGAAGTTTTTTTGATTTTTTTGTTGGTGCGCTAATGCCAAATGTCTCACTCTAATGTCTTGCACAGGTCAACGTATTGAAACTTACTGTTGAAGACTTGGAGAAAGAGAGAGATTTCTACTTTGGAAAGCTAAGGAATATTGAATTGATTTGCCAAGAGAATGAAGGGGAAAATGACCCTGTTTTGCAGAGGATTGTGGACATTCTGTATGCTACAGACGTATGTGTCGACATGAGAATGTTTCTTTGCCATTTTGCCACCTAAGAGGAAATAAGTTTAATCTACTTGATTTTGGCAAATTTGCTGATGCTTGTTGAGTTCCAGTGAGCATTTATCAGCAGGCTTTGTTTTTGACCCCTCAAAGTCAGCCAGAGGATACCTCTTCCCAGCTTGAGCCCCTGCCTGGAGATCTGTGGATCCTTGAAGGAGGGGTAGGACAAGGAGGTGGCTGGCTTGCCCAGTTTGTGGCCACTTGAAAGTGACGAGTGCTGCCAAAGGCTCTTAGCCAGAAGCACTCTCACTCCCACCCGCCCCTCCAGCTTAGACCTGTTGGCTTGAGGTGCTGTCTGCATTTATCCAGGCCGAGGTGTACTGTGCAGAACCAGGCACATGTTCCTTTTCCCATGTCTGCTGCCAGGAGCTTGCCTTATTCCCATTCCCTCAAGTTTATTTGGATCGTGCTTATTATAAAAGAAGCCAAAGCTGCTGCTGATGATCATGTCATCAAGGAAGGCTAATTTTCTCTAGATTTAGGATTTGTTATCTGTTGCCCACTGTTGGATAGTTGCATTTATTTATTTTTTAAAGATTTGTTAATTGGGGCTGGTGCTTTGGTGTAGTGGTGCTGGCATCCCACTATGGGCACCGATTCAAGTCCTGGCTGCTACTCTTCCCATCCAGGTCTCTGCCATGGCCTGAGAAAGCAGTGGAATATGGCCCAAGTGCTTGGGCCCCTGCACCTGTATGAGACACCCAGAAGAAGCTCCTGGTTCCTGATAGACCCAGTCCCGGCCATTGTGGCCATTTGGAAAGTGAACCAGCAGATGGAAGACCTCACTTTCTCTGTGTCTGCCTCTTTGTACCTCTGCCTCTCAAATAAAGAAATTAATTTTTTAAAAAGATTTATTTACTTATTTGAAAGGTTTCAGAGAGGGAGAGAAGCAGAGATAGATCTTGCACCTGCTGATTCACTCCTCAAATGGCCTCAGTGGCCGGAGCTGGACTGATCTGAAGCCAGGAACCAGGAGCTTCTTTTGGGTCTCCCTCACAGGTGCAGGGGCTCAAGGAGTGGGCCATCTTTCCCAAGCCATTAGCAGGGAGTTGGATCAGAAGTGGCTCATTCAGGGCTTGAACCAGTGCCCATATGGATGCTGGCACTGCAGGTGATTGCTTAACCCGCTGTGCCACAGTGCCGGCCCTTAATGGTTGTATTTATAATTCTTCTCTATGCCTAGCAAGGTCGGTAGGCTTAAGCTACAAGTGATTTATGGTATGTGTTAGGTGTAGCACTATATAAATATAAGGTAATATTAATGCTGTTAGTATTCACTGTCTTCTTAATGTCTCTTGTGTATTTGAGGGGATTAAGATAGATGACTGAAAAGTTTATAATTTGGTTGATAAATCCTTATTCAGGGCTTGTTCTGTGCTAGGAAGTGAAAACAAAAATGATGAAGACGTAGAGTTCCAGGTCTAGTAGGAGTATTTTTGTGGAATCATATGGCCAAGGGGATTTAGTTAAAAAAAAAAAAAAAAAAATCAAGTGGTTGAAGGAGAAACGTGGTTTTTATGGTAGAGCAGTCTACTCCCTCTCTGTCAGTGGATGCCAGAGGTTCCTGGAGTGAGTGTGAGGCAGCGGGTGTGAGTCTTGCTCTCCTTTGCACACTCAGTTTTCTCATACTACTGAAGTTGGGTTGCCCTTGCTGTTGTAAAGGTTTTGGGTAAAGCATGATTATAACTACAACTAGAAAGCAGAAAGGAAAGGTAACAGTTTACTGAGAGGTGAGCATAGAATGAACTTTATGGGGACTTAGGAACTTTTGAGGGTAAATGTTCTTTTTTCAGGCAACTTTATTGAGGTATAATTTGACATACAATAAACTGCACGTATTTAAAGTGTGCCTTTGATGTTGTGAAATCATCATCAAGATAGTTTACATAGCCATCACTCTAAAGAGGTGAATTTTGAAGGTGATTTGATTGTGTTCAGTTTTTCTTCATATGAGATCTAATTCTGCTGTCCGAGAAATACGGCTGCAGTCACGTGGCATGTGTGATTCAGTAAAACAAGTGTGGTAGAGACAGGAAGAGCTGTTGCCTTGACGAGATGGCTGTCAATGAGGAGCGTGAACTGGGGTTGGAATCTCTTCCTCAGTGCTGAAGAATAACTTCTGTCTCATTTTGCCCTTCCAGGAAGGCTTTGTGATACCTGATGAAGGGGGCCCCCAGGAAGAACAAGAAGAGTATTAATAACGTGGCCAGCAGAGCAACATCCGAATTCTTCACTCCAAATCATGTGCTTAACTGTAAAATAACTCCCTTTTATTATCCTTAGAGGACTCACTGGTTTCTTTTCAAAAGCAAAAAGTACCTCTTCTTAAAAGTGCACTTTGCAGAAGTTTCACTCCTTTTCCAATAAGTTTGAGCTAGGAGCTTTTACCTTATAGCAGAGCAGTATTAACATCTAGGTGGTTCACTGGGGAACAAAGAGGCTGACCGTGGGGCTCTCACCATGTGGATGCTGGTCACACTGATTGCTGGAGAAGGTGTTTTATGTAATATGCTGAGGGGGGACCTCAGTAGAGAAATGTAAAGACTGAATTGAATTTTAAGCTAATGTGAAATCTTGGCAGAGAACATTTTAATAAATAAATGCCTTAAGAGTATTTAAAAAATGCTTCCATATTTCAAAATATAAAATGTAACATGACAGGATATTTTCTGTGTTTGACATTGTATCTGGGAAAGAAGGGCCAGACCTTGGGACTCTGTGAGCTCACCTGCTGTCACAGGCCTTCCAGGGCTGCTCGAATCCTCACAGTCCTAGGCTTTGGCCCAAGGAGAGTTTGAAAAGTGGTTTGGTGTCATTGACTAACTGATCCCTGCTGAAAAGCAGGAGGCATTATTTCCTGGATGAATAGTGGGTGTTTCAGCTCTGAGATGGTTGAGTTGGAGAGCTTGATTTTCATTGAGCATTTCTCCTGGTGATTTTTCCAATTGTTCCTGAAATTTCTGTGTATTGTGTTTTTGAGGGAATGAGGTGTGTCCGGTTTTTTAATCAAACAGCCACTCTTGGGGGACCTGCCAGTATCTCTGGGTTTGAATGGGGGTTGTGTCCCACCTTACCGTCTTCTAAGTTTACATTGAACCCGTTCCTCTCTCTGCTCCCCTCGTCCGCTGGGGATTCCTCATTGGCTCCTTACAGTTTGCTGCTTAGAGTTGGAAGCACAGCAAGTGGGTGATTGTGCTGCAAGTTCTTTCTGGACCTCTGGCAAAGGGAGGGAGCAGTGAAGGCCATCATTTCTTTGTGATCTGCAAAGCTGACTGGGGTGTTTTTGGGATGTGCTGTTCACAGCTCTCCACTGTTAACTGAATACTTTGCCAGTGCACTAATCTCTTTGGAGATAAAATTCACTAGCGTGTTACTAAATGTTTTCTTTTGCAGAAAATGCAGTACCATGTCTGAATTAATTATTAATATTTAAAATATTCCATTCCTTAACTCTCCCTCATTTGCTTTGCCCGCACCGATTCAGTCTTTGTTTGGCAGGATTCTGCACAATGTATGTTACCCGCTCCTGAGACTGTTCAGCCTGACGTGTTTGTATTGATTCGTTTCTGGTGGTAGCTTGTCCTAAAACGTGTGTAGAAAGCAGATATTTTATGATAAAATTGTTGTGTAGTGCATGCTCTGTGTGGAATTCAGAGGAAAACCCAGATTCAGTGATTAACAATGCCAAAAAATGCAAGTAACTAGCCATTGTTCAGTTGACAGTGGTGCTATTTCTCTTTTGTGGCCTTTTAGACTTTTGTTGCCCTAAAATTCCATTTTATTGGGAACCCATTTTCCACCTGGTCTTTCTTGACAGGGTTTTTTTCTACTTTAAACAGTTTCTAAATAAAATTCTGTATTTCAAGAGTGTCCTGTCTTCTGAAGTTTGTCTTGCCCTGGGTGTGTGCCTTCAGGTTCAAGTGCAGTGGTACCAGTGCTGCTTTCTTAGATTGGGACTGAGCTTTTCACACCCTCACTGTCTTTCAGATGCACTCATTTCTAAGCCCGCTTCTTTTTTCTTCATTCGCATTACATGGCTAGCCGCCTGATGTTGATGCGAGGGGTTCTCCCTCAGAAGTCCAAGGCCTGCCGCCTGCTGTTGAGGCCTTTTCAGACTGTTTGCTCCTGAGAAATAGAGCAGGGTCGTGCGTGGCTGGTGACCAAGGCTGGGGGCGGCAGGGCGGACGGCAGCATTTTTCTCTTGAAAGATGTTTCAGAGGCAGTTTATAAAGTGTCAATCTATAAAATCTAAAACTGACACTTTTCCTCCCTCCCCTATAACATTGTGTGCCTTTCGAAATGAGTTCAGGAAACTTGCTGCCATTTCCAGTCCACAGAAAAGTGAAATGGGCAGAAGCTCATTTTTTTTTGTATGACCTTTAGAATAATCTCCACAGTTATGGCTGTTCTGTAAACCCAACTGGATGCTAATTTTGACCAGACTTAACTCCAAATTATTTCCTCTAGAAGGTAAAGTATGAAGCCTTCCTTGAAATGTAATACACTTTCAGAAGAAGTTTGTCATCGTATGCTTTGGTAACCTCCAAGAAGATACCTCCAGGAGAGTATGGCGTGTGTGAAGATACTGTTGGGTGCTGCCAGCTGAGATGTAAGGACTAAAGCTGACCCCGTGCGCACCTGTGACCCTGTGCTGGCTCTCGGGGCTAAGGCACACGCAGTCTTTGAATGTTACCAGCTCAGTTTGGGTCACTGCTGCACTAAATGCCAATGAGTTGCTTGGTTTGCTTGGTAAGTTCTGCATGTGTTAAAGAGGGTAAAGGGGTTCTGTGGCTAGATCGGGCTCAGCATCCGTTCCTCAGGCTGGTGATGCTCTTACCAGGGTTGGGCTTCAGAATCCCTGGGGGAGCTTGTTCGGCCTAGCCTGTTTGTCGAGTCCATTCCCCGGAAATGCTGGGCTTAGAGCTTGAAGACCTGCATTATAATAATGCACCTCAGGTGATCTGTGCTGGATGTAGTCCTCAGACCTGAACCTGGGCCTGTACCTTAGGCTCACAGACTTCCAGTCTGAGTTCTGGCAAAGGGAACATCAGATTTGTATCCTTTTGCAATCCCTCCTAGTTGTGTGATTTTTGAGCTAATTGACCTCTCGTTCTCACCCACAATACGGGGGTGGTGGTGATGGCTGAAGCGCCTGCCTCACTGGGTGAGGCCGGGTTCAGGATGAACTGGCAGATGAAGAAAGTCACCACAGCGTGAAGTTCTAAATGGACCTGAGGCATTAGTTATGGCATTGGTTCTTCAGATCCAGCCTTCATGATCTATAGATTAGGAAGTGCTTAAGATGGGGCTTTAGTATCCTGGAAATTCAGGAAGCCATTCTTAAGATAGGCTTTGTGTGTTTTGTAAAATAAGCAACAAATTTTAAAGTTTCTTTTTCAGCTTGGTGGTATTCAAAAGTCAAGTTCTTTACCATATTCAGACTGATTTTTCATCCTATTTTGAGGTCTGCATGCACATTTCACTGTTTTTATTTTTTTATTTATTTTTTTTATTTTTATTTATTTATTTATTTTTATTTTTTGACAGGCAGAGTGGACAGTGAGAGAGAGAGACAGAGAGAAAGGTCTTCTTTTGCCGTTGGTTCACCCTACAATGGCCGCCGCGGCTGGTGCGCTGCGGCGGGTGCACCGCGCTGATCCGATGGCAGGAGCCAGGTGCTTCTCCTGGTCTCCCATGGGGTGCAGGGCCCAAGCACCTGGGCCATCCTCCACTGCACTCCCTGGCCACAGCAGAGAGCTGGCCTGGAAGAGGGGCAACCAGGACTAGAACCCGGTGTGCCGGCGCCGCTCGGCGGAGGATTAGCCTAGTGAGCGGCGGCGCCGGCCTTGATTTTTTTTTTTTTTTTTTTTTTTTTAAGATTTATTTAATTTGTTTGAAAGGCAGCGTTGCAGAGTGAGTGAGAGACAGGTCTTCATCTGCTCATTCACTCCCCAGTTGTCTGCAACAGTAAGGGCTGAGCCATACTGAAGCCAGGAACCAGAAGCTTCTTCCTGGTCTCCCACACAGGTGCAGGGTTCACAGCACTTGGGTGTTTTCTGCTCCTTTCCCAGGTCGTTAGCCAGGAGCCAGGAGCTGGATTGGAAGTGGAGCAGCTAGGACTCAAACCAGCACCCATTATGGGATGCTAGTGTTACAGGCTGCGGCTTTACCTGCTACGCCAGAATACTGACCCCTTAAGATACAGTTTTTGAAAACATTTATTTCACCTACTTGAAAGAGTGAGAGAAAGCAAGAGTAGGCTTCCGTCTACTGGTTCACTCCCCAGATGCCTGCAACAGCCAGGGCTTGGCCAGGCTGAAGCCAGGAGCCTGGAATTTCATTTTGGGTCTCCCATATTGGGTGGCAGAGACCCAAGCACTTGAGCCATCATCTGCTGCCTCCCAGGGACCTAGATCAGAAGTGGAGGAGCCGGGACTTGATCCAGGTGTTTCAATATAGGATGTGAGTGTCCCAAACAGTGGCTTACCCCACTGTGCCACAGCACCCAACCCCATCATTTTCTTTTAAACCAAGATTCAGCGACTCAGATTCACGGATTTAAGAGAATATTTTCGGGGCTAGTGTTATGGCATAGTGAGACAAGCTGCTGCCTGTGATGCTGGCTTTCCATCTGCGGTCATTGTTTTGTGTTCTGGCTACTCCACTTCCAGTCTAGGCAGGTGGGGCTGCTACCTGCTGTGCTGGCATCCCATATGGGCGCTGGTTTGAGTCCCGGCTGCTCCATTTCCAGTCTAGCTCTCTGCTGTGGCTTGGGAAAGCAGTAGAAGGTGGCCCACTTCATTGGGCCCCTGCACCTGCGTGGGAGACCTGGGGGAAGCTTCTGGCTCCAGCCTTCTGATGAGTGCAGCTCTGGCCATTACAGCCATCTGGGGAGTGGACCAGCGGATGGAAGACCTCTCTCTCTCTCTGCCTCTGTTCTCTGTAACTCTGCCTTTCAAATAAAAATAAATCTTAAAAAAAAAAAAAAAAAAAAGCGATGGAGAATGGCCCAGACTGTTCGGGCCTCTTCTACCAACATGGAACATCCAAATGAAGCCTCTGGCTTCTGGCTGGCCCAGCGCTAACCCCAGCCCCAGCCATTCCTTCCATCTAGAGAGTAAGCCAGTGGATGGAAGATTTTTCTCTCTATATCTCTGAATTTTAAATAAATCTTCAAAAAAGAAAAATAATTTCTTCAAAAAATCTGTTCAAGGTTCATTCTTTAGAATGTAATATGGTTTTGGAAAAGAAGCAGATTCCTTTTGCAGTAACCTGGTGGTTGTCTAGAGAAGTTGCTCTTTGAGGGTTGTCCTGTAAGACAGAGAACGAGGAGCCCCGTTTGTGATATTTACCACAGTTCTTCCTTGGCTTGGTCAGCAAATAAAACCCTAGGCTTTAGGCCTGATAAGCCTAATCAGGTTAGCTTGCTAGCATGTGTGTGACCCAAATCTGCCTTTGTCAATAGAGGATAAAAGTAATTGCTTAGAACCAGGCTGAACTGTATCCTGTGATCGGTTTCCATGAATTTTTAGTCATTTTCTGGGTGTGGCACTGTTCACAGTATGTTACTTTTGAATTTAGACATTTAGTTTCAAAATAGGGTGAGTTATTTCTGTACCTTCATTACACTCACAGCTTTTTTCTCACAATTCCAGAAGTAGGAGTCTGAATGTGCAGAGTTGTCTGAAAGAAAGCCTGAGGAGGATTCTTCACTTCCTGTCTGAACTTGACTCTTAATTAGAACCATTAAACTAGAAGGCTTTGGCCAGCTTGTCTTGGGCTCTTACCTTTTTTTTTTTTTTTTTTTTTTGACAGAGTGGACCGTGAGAGGGACAGAGAGAAAGGTCTTCCTTTTTGCCGTTGGTTCACCCTCCAATGGCCGCCGCGGCCGGCGTGCTGCGGCCGGCGCACCGCGCTGATCCAATGGCAGGAGCCAGGTGCTTCTCCTGGTCTCCCATGGGGTGCAGGGCACAAGCACCTGGGCCATCCTCCACTGCACTCCCAGGCCACAGCAGAGAGCTGACCTGGAAGAGGGACAACCGGGACAGAATCCGGCGCTCCGACTGGGACTAGAACCTGGTGTGCCGGCGCCGCAGGCCGGAGGATTAGCCTAGTGAGCCGCTGCGCCTGCGGGCTCTCACTTTTGAAGATGTTTTCCCCCATGGCTTAATCTGAATGGAGAGCAATACCACGTGGTCCATGGAGCACGGGAACTCCCTGTCGGGTGTAGTTGAGTAGCTTCATTCATTGGCTCATGTAGGTGAGGGGGGCTGGCCCTGGAGTCAGTCTCATTTCCAGGCTTACTGCTCATCAGTCCAGAGCGTTACATCTTTATGCGTACATAAACTACAAATGTGAACAACCCGCGTTTTTGTTTCCTGTCGGAGGCTTTCTGGTTCTGTGTGTAGAATGAAGTTAGCCTTCCTGAAAGTGTGTGTGAGTCTGGGGAGAGGCAACCCTTTGTCCTGTGACCATCTGAAAGCATACCACAAAAGGGGAAAAAACAAAACAAAACAAAAAACCAGGTTGGTTACCCACCAGAGCCCAGAACTTTGTGAAAGGCAGCAAGAAAATGATTGAGAATTGTAAAATGATTTGTCAGCAGTTTGTCAGCAAATTTCTCTAGAAATCTTGCCTTATTAAAATAAATTTCTTTTTTTTAAAGATTTATTTGTTTTACTTAAAAGTCAGATTACACAGAGAGAGAAGGAGAGACAGAGTGATCTTCCATCTGCTGGTTCACTCCCCAGATGGCTGCAACGGCTAGAGCTGCACTGATCCAAAGGCGGGAGCCAGGAGCTTCTTCCAGGTCTCCCACATGGCTGCAGGGGCCCAAGGATTTGGGCCATCTTGTACTGCTTTCCCAGGCCATAGCAGAGAGCTGGATTGGAAGTGGAGCAGCTGGGACTCGAACTGGTGCCCATATGGGATGCCTGTGTTTCAGGCCAGGTCTTTAACCTGCTGTGCCACAATGCCGACCCCTATAAATTTCTCTTTTAGCTTTTTCCTGGCTTTGAAGTGGTTTTATTTTCTTCCTTCCTTTCTTTCTGAAAGTTACAGTGAGCGAGTTGGGGGTGGGGAGAGAGTGTGTGATACATAGGTATCGATCTTCCATCTGCTTGTTCATTCCCCAAATGGCTGCAATAGTGAAGACTGGGCCAAGCTGAAGCCAAAAGCCCAGTGTTCTATTCAGGTTTCCCACATGAGTGCAGGGGCCCAAAGACCTGGGCCGTTGTCTTCTGCGGAAGAGGAAAAGTAATTTATTCCATATGATGTCTACATACAGTTTGGCAGTAGAATACGATGTGGGAAGCTTTTAATAGATAAGATTCGGTCCATACGAATAAGTCTTTATTTTTGAGATTTATTTACTTGACAGAATTACAGAGGGAAGGAAGAACAGTGTTCTTTCATCTGCTGATTTATTCCTCAAATGGCCACAACAACCTAGACTAGGTCAGGCCGAAGTCAGGTGATTCTTTGTGGTCTCCCATGTAGGTGCAGGGACCTAAGCACTTGGGCCATCTTCCACTGCTTTCCCAGGTGCGTTAGCAGGGAGCTGGATCAAAAGTGGAGCAGCCAGGACGCGAACCAGCACCCATGTGGGATGCAGGTATTGTGGGCCTTGGCTTAACCTGCCGTGTCACAGGTGCCGTGACACCTTGGGTACATTTTTTTGTTTTGTTTTATTTGACAGAGTTAGAAAGGTCTTCCTTCCGTTGGTTCACCCCCCCACATTTTTTTTTTTTTTTTTTTAAGATTTGATTTTATTTGAAAGAGTTATAGAGGCAAGAAGAGAGAGAGAGAGGGATCTTCCATATGCTGGTTCACTCCTCAAGTGGCCGCAGCAGCTGGAGCTGGGCCCATCTGAAGCCAGGAACCCGGAGCTTCTGGGTGCTATCTTCATATGGGTGCAGGGGCCCAAGGACTTAGGTCATCTTTTTCTGCTTTTCCAGGCCATAGCAGAGAGCTGGATTGTAAGTGGAACAGCTGGGACTCTTAACTGGTGCCCATACTCGATGCCAGCACTGCAGGCAGTGGCTTGTACCTGCTAGGCCACAGCGCCAGCACCCTGGGTTAGTTTTGTGGCTCTTATTAGTTTGCCTTAATGGATGATCCATAGATTGTAATGAAGACCATTATAAGTTCAAGATTAAGCATACAATTGGATTGCCTGATTATATGAAAACAGATGTGACCAGAGCCTCCTATCTGGTCTTTACCAAGATAAAGAAGATAGGGGCCAGCGCTGTGGTGCAGCGGGTTAAAGCCCTAGCCTGAAGCGCCGGCTCCCCATATGGGTGCTAGTTCTAGTCCAGGCTGCTACTCTTCCTATCCAGCTCTCTGCTATGGCCTGGGAAAGCAGTATAAGATGGCCCAAGTCCTTAGGCCCCTCCACCCACATGGGAGACCTAGAAGAAGCTCCTGGCTCCTGGCCATTGTGACCATCTGGGGAGTGAACCAGTGGATGGAAGACCTGTCTGTCTACCTCTGTCTGTAACTCTTTCAAATAAATAAAATCTTAAAAAAAGATGATAGTGCCGTAGTTGTAAGGCCATGTTTGGACTGTAGTTGGCATGCGGGTCATCATTCAGGCTCTGCATCCCAGGTTTGCAGAGCGTGGCTTTTCATTGGTTGACTTGGAGAGGAGCCCTTTCAGCTGAGAAGGGTTACCTGGGGTTATAAAAGCAATAGGATACTGGAACGGAAAGGAGTGGGGGAGTACGCCGTTCCTACCAATGTTGCTTCTGGAGGCTAATTTTTTATTAGTTCTTGATTCAGAAAAGCACATAGTGTTTCATATGGAGTTTTGAAACAATTTCCACTAACATATTTTTAAGTACGTATTTTAATAGTTAAATACTTTTGGTATTGAGGAGCAAGGAACGTCTTCATGTTCTTCCATGTGGGTACAGGGGCCCAGCTACTTGGGCCATCCTCTGCTTTCCCGGGCACATTAGCAGGGAGCAGGATTGAAAGTGGAGCAGCCAGTACTCGAACTTGCACCTCTGTGGGATGCAGGCATCACAGGCGGTGGCTTAACACAGTCTGCTGCCACAACACTGGCCCCAACAGGGGAGGCTTTGACAGGAGAAGTAACAAGTGGTTCAGCTTGAGTTCAGCGTTTTCCACAGTTGCAAATTGCGGAGAGAGTCTTGCTGATGATCCCAACTCATCATGTAGTGCACGAATCTCCATTATTTTTACCCAGAGTCTGTCATGGTTTCTCCTGTTTTAAGCCTGAGTGACCTTCACTTTTATTTCCCTGTACAAGCCTTGCTTCTCAGTTTTCTGTCAATTTTTATACTTCTCGTAATGGGGCTCATTTTATATTATGATGTAGTTTCAGTGATTTTGAGACCCAGCATAATCTCAAGATCTTCTGGATTTTAGCTTTTTACTTAACGTTCTCTAACCTAATGGAACTCCTTTTTTTGTGCCGGAGGCGGGGGGTGGGGTGGGGTGGTATTTTATATGTTCGAGTACAAAACACCATGAGTATAAGGTATGACTGCTGTTTTTACTTTGAAACTTTCTGCCTGGGGGAATGAAATGCACTGTTGTGTTTTTGGCCCCATGTGTACTTTAACGTTGAAGCCTGAAAGAGGAAGTAACAATTCTCAGAATGAAATAAATATTTTATGTATTTATTTGAAAGGCAGAGTTATAGAGAGGCAGAGGCAGAGAGGGAGCGAGCGAGCTTCCATCTGCTGATTTACTCCCCGACTGGCCACAGTGGCTGGAGCTGCGCCGATCAGGAGCCAGGAGCTTCCTCTGAGTCTCCCACACGGATGCAGGGGCCCAAGGATTTGGGCCATCTTGTACTGCTTTCCCAGGCCATAGCAGAGAGCTGGGTTGGAAAAGGAGCAGCCGGGACTCGAATTGGCGCCCATATGGGATGCAGGTACCACAGGCAGCAGCTTTACCACTTTAAGAAGTGTTTTTTTCATCTGAATATTTTATTTAGGACAAAGCAGTCTATTTGAATGGAATGATTCTTAAGTCATCTCGTGTAGTTCCCTTCAGTTCTCAGACACTCTCAAAATGTACGCACTCACACCCGACCCACTATTTATAGCTTAAGAAGTAATTTTTTTAAAAAGTAGCTGTTCAACCACATTAGGAATCTGCTGTATTGTGAGTCATGGTTTTTTTGAGTCCTGAGTTTTCTTTGGCCGTGTGGTGTGATGGGCAGGGCAGGTTGTCACGTCCATCCGTCACCAGCCAAAGGGTGACCCTGAGCCTCAGCTTCAGGATCCCTTGTTCTCGCAGTCAGTCACTTCTACTGTCTTCTTGTTTGTTTGAAGAAAACAGTTTATTTTAGACTGCTAAATTGCATTTGGAAACTTTTGACATACCGAGCTGAGGAAGGATGGAAGTTCTGACATCTTACAGATGGACAGTGTTGAAGTTGGAAGGCCAGCAGTGGTGCTGCTGGGGGCAGTGCAGGAAGTGCCTGCCTGGAGCAGTGACCTGTGGGGGCTGCCCTCTCCCCCCTGAGTTGCTGTCGTCTGGCCACACCCACCCCTGTGAGGTCAGGGTTCCCTGGGATCAGCAAATGATTCCCAAGTTAGTCTCAAGTGGGACTTTTAAAATCTTTTTCCAGAATTATTTTGGTGAAGTTTATCTAGATTTTTCTTCTAAATATCTTTACTCTTTTTTTTAAACCTTGGTTAGTGATGATCATATTTCACTCTTTAGCAGTTTTCTGAACTTTTATTTAAAAAGTGGAATACATCTTAATAGTACCCCCCCCCCCTTTTAAAGATTTTATTTATTTGACAGGTAGAGTTACAGACAGAGAGACAGAGAGAAAGGTCTTCCTTCTGTTGGTTCATTCCCCAAATGGCCGCAATGGCCAGAGCTGTCCCAATCCAAAGCCCGGAGCCAGGTGCTTCTTCCCAGTTTCCCATGTGGGTGCAGGGGCCCAAGCAGTTGAGTCATCTTCTACTGCTATCCCAGGCCATAGCAGAGAGCTGGACTGGAAGAGGGGCAACCAGAATTAGAACCAGAGCCCATATGGGATGCCGGCACTGAAGGTGGCAGCTTTACCTGCTACACCACAGTGCTGACCCAATTATTATTATTATTTTTTAAACCTTTGGCTTTTTTTTTTTTGGGGGGGGGACAGATAGACAAAGAGAAAGGTCCTCCCTCCGCTGGTTCACCCCCCCAAATGGCTGCTACGGTTGGAGCTATGCCAATCTGAAGCCAGGAGCCAGGTGATTCCTCCTGGTCTCCCATGCAGGTGCAGGGGCCCAAGCACTTGGGCCATCCTCCACTGCCTTCCTGGGCCACAGCAGAGAGCTGGACTGGAAGAGGAGCAACCGTGACTAGAACCCGGCACCCATATGGGATGCCGGCGCCACAGGCGGAGGATTAACCAAGTGAGCCATGGTGCCAGCCCACCTTTGGCTTTTTAATACCTAGTCTAGTTAAAACCCTGATTTAAAGGACTTCTCCACCCTTTGACATTTCATTCAGCCACACTCTAATCTGACCAGATCCTTTGTTGGCATCATGCCGCAACCAGAGGAGGGTTTGCGTGTGTATGTTGATGTTCTCTTGAGCGTGTTTTGCTTGGTGGTCACTTCACGTTTCTGTAACATCTGGTTCGTCGTGGAATGTGATTTACCTGGGTACCTTTTAAATCTGGAATGCACGTCCTTGGAGACTTACCTGCTTTGTGCCGGTGGGCCAAGATTGCACTGTGGCTCTATGCAGTCAGTCCTACTCGGAAGCCTGGCTTTTTAAGTCCCTCTTCTCACACATAATGCTCTTCTCACCTTCCTTTTTTTCCAAGAATTGGAGCTCATGCAGAAGGCTGCTTAGGGATCGGCTGTGCCTTTTACTGTCTCCACTGTGAGAGGTAGTTCAGTTTGGGTGAACGCTACTCTACCATGGGGCTCCCCAGCGATTACCGCAGTGTGTGAGAGGTGGGATCTCTCTGCCCGTGCTTGTCGTATGGATTGTTTTGTTTACCTGCGTGTCCTGGCTATTTGTGCTGTGTCCTGTCTATTGTATGTTCAATTTCATCAATAAAAAGTATCTCAGATTGGGTGAAAAGTGGCTATATGGCTATGGTTTGCGATTTGGATTCTACTGCTCCGTTTCTGTTTTTGTCCGGAATTCTCCTCTTCCTGGTTCTAATATGACCTGTTGGCCTCAGGCAGGTAGAAGCCTTCTGAGTTCCACGGTGACTTAATAGAAGAGCTGCTCGGATTCAGAGACAACTGCCAAGATGTCTCAGTTGACGTGGGTCTCGAAAACTGGCAGCTCTAGGTCATCCGGCATGGTTACCTGGGGAGATCAAATTGGGTCAGGGTGAGTGAGGGTTTTGGGTTAAAGTTGTTCTCTGAAAGTGTGAACACTTCAGCCTGAGGATTTGCTTCCCTGAGAGCCAAGATTGGATGGGAACCATGAGATCATCTGCCTGTTTCTGGGGCAGCTTTAGGTGCATTTAGCTGTAAGGCATCTGCCCCTGCAGGTTCTTCAAACCAGTTGTGCAGCCGACCAGTTGTTTCCCTCCTGTCTCCAGTGTGCTTCCCTACTGGCTGCTCCCAGCTCCCACCTCTGTTGACAGATTTGCACCCTACCTCCCACCCCTCCCCACCAGACTGCTCTGAGCCAAACAACTGCAGGGAGTAGATCAAGGCCCGTGGGTTTGACTTCTGATCCCATGTGTTCTCTGATTGTAACTGTAAATTGAATTCTACGTCTTGGTTTTCCTTTTCTTCCCCACAGTCTTGGAGTAACGAGTTTCTCTACTCCCCGTGTCCATGCCCCAACTCTTCTCTCCACAACCTTGTATGTGTGTAGCTTCTGTTGCTAGCAACCAGTGTTTTATTCCACTTGCTGGTTTGCCTCAGTCTATGAATATAAACAGAGCTGCTGCTCTCCTGGTTAAAGACCTATTTCTCTTACAAAACTTTTAGTTTTGAAATAATTAAAAATACAAAGGGTGGCCATTTGGTGTAGCAGGTAAGATGCCTGTGTCCCCTACTGGAGTGCCTGGATTTGATACCCAGCTCCGGCTTCTGACGCCAACTTCCTGCTGGTGTGGACCCTGGGAGGCAGTGGTGGTGGCCTCCTGCCTCCCATGTGAGAGACCTTGTTTTGCCCAGCAGATGAGATCTCTTTCATGTGTTTTTTTCTCTGCCTCTCAAATAAATAAACAGAAGTTTAAAAACCTATTAGATAGTTGTAAGAATAGTATAAAGAACTTCCCTCCACCCAAATTGTGAGCATTTTGCCACATTTGCTTTTTTTTTTTTTTTTTTTTGACAAGTGGAGTTAGACAGAAAGGTCTTCCTTCTGTTGGTTCACCCCCAAAATGGCCACTATGGCTGGTGTGCTGCGCCAATCTGAAGCCAGGAGCCAGATGCTTCCTCCTGGCCTCCCATGGGGTGCAGGGCCCAAGCACCTGGGCCATCTTCCACTGCCTTCCGGGGCCACAGCAGAGAGCTGGACTGGAAGAGGAGCAACTAGGACAGAACCGGTGCCCTAGCCGGGACTAGAACCTGAGGTGCCGGCGCCGCAGGCGGAGGATTAGCCTAGTGAGCCATGCCGCCGGCCGCACATTTGCTTTTTATATATTTATATTTGAAACCATTTGAAAATAACAGACATCATGTCCTTTACCACTAAATACTTAAATGTATATCTCCTAAGAACAAAAAGGGCATTCTCTTTTATAACCAAAATAAAATTATCAAAAGCAGAAAAACAGTATCTCATAATGTAGAGTCCATATTCAAATTTCACCTAATAGTGAAAATAACATTTTTTAAAAAAATTTATTTAGGCAGTAGAGTTGTAGATAGTGAGAGGGAGAGACAGAAAGGTCTTCCATCTGCTGGATCACTCCCCAAAGGGCTACAACAGCTGGAGCTGTGCTTATCTGAAGCCAGGAGCTTTTTCTGGGTGTCCCACGTGGGTGCAGGCGCCCAAGCACTTGGGCCATCTTCTGCTTTCCCAGGCTATTAGCAGAGAGAGCTCTCAGAAGAGGAGCAGTTGGGATTTGAACCGGCGCCAGTATGGGATGCTGGCTCCGCAGGCAAAGGATTAACCTACTATGCCATAGTGGCAGTCCTCCTGATAACATCTTTTAATCCAATCTCGAGTCCAGTTCAAAAGTGTACTACTGGGGCTGGCTGTGTGGGAGACCTGGAAGAAGCTCCTGGCTCCTGGTTTCAGATCTGCCTAGCACTGGTCATTGTAGCCATTTGGGGAGAAACCAGCAGATGGAAGACCTCTCTCTCTGTCTCTCCCTCTCACTGTGTATAATTCTACCTCTCAGATAAGTGAATAACATTTTTTTTTTAAAAGTGTACTGTCTTCACTTGTTGGATCTCAAGTAACCCTTAATCTGTGATAGTTCGTTAGCCGTTTATGTTTTGTGTAATATTGACTGCACTGAGAGGCAGAGAACACGAGTTCCCATCCCCGTGATTTACTTCCAGGTGCACTGACTGGGCCTGAGTGGGAGCTGGGAACTCGATCTACCTCTCCCAGCTGGGTGGGGGAACCCCAGTGAGTCATCACTGCTTCCTCCCTAGGTCTTCATTTGCAGGAACCTAGAACTGGGAGTTAGAGCCAGGGCTATGACATGGGATGCAGCTTCCAACCCCCCTGCCCCCAAGGTTCTGTTTTTTATTAACTTGAAATACAGGGACACAGGGAGAGAGAGATTGTCTGCTGGTTCACTCTCCCAAATGCCTGCAGTAGCCAGGGTTGGGCCAGGCTGAAGCCAGGAGCCTAGAACTCCATTCAGGTTGCCCAAGGACTTGAGCCATCACCTGCTGCCTCCCAGGGTGTGCATTAGTACAAATCGGAAGCAGAGCTGGGATTCAAACCTGGGCATTCCGATCTGGGATGTGGGGATTCCAAGTGGTGTCTTAACTGCTGTGCCACAACCCCCACCCTGGGGTGCTGGCTTCTTAACTGCTAGACTCAATGCCCACTCTTCATAGACATTTTAAAAACATAAAATGCAGATTTTTTAGAATGCCTTGCAATTATATGTTGGCCTGTTTCCACATGGTAAGATTCAGATTGTGTGTGTGTGTTGGTATCACCACTGCAGCGACATCTTGCTTGAAGATTCTAGACATGCATGGTGTCATTTTGTTCCATGATTGCTGATGGTAACTTTAATTACTTGTTAGCTAAGACTGCTTTTTTGGTTGGTTGTTTATTTTTTTTAAATTTTTTGACAGGCAGAGTGGACAGTGAGAGAGAGAGACAGAGAGAAAGGTCTTCCTTTTGCCGTTGGTTCACCCTCCAATGGCTGCCGTGGCCGGCGCGCTGTGGCCGGCGCACCGCGCTGATCCGATGGCAGGAGCCAGGTGCTTATCCTGGTCTCCCATGGGGTGCAGGGAGGGGCAACCGGGACAGAATCCGGCGCCCCGACCGGGACTAGAACCCGGTGTGCCGGCGCCGCAAGGTGGAGGATTAGCCTAGTGAGCTGCCGCGCTGGCGGTTGTTTGTTTAAAAAAAGATTTATTTATTTTTTTGAGAGGGAGAGATCTTTCATCTGCTGATTCACTCCCCAAATGGTTGCAACAGCTAGGGCTGAGCCAGGCTCAAGCCAGGAACCAGGAGCTTTTTCTGGGTAGTAGGGACATGAGTGGTAGGGACCCAAGTGCATGGGCCATTTTCTGCTGCCTTCCCGAGCACGTTAGTAGGGAGCTGGATCAGAATTGGAGCAGCCAGGACCCAAGCTGGTACCCTCATGGGATGGGGGCATCACAGCATGTTAACCTGCTGCACCACTACTCTGGCCCTTGCTTTCTCCTTTTTCTGAAGATGGTCCTGGCATTTCCTTCAGTTCCTGGTTCTTGGCTCCCACACCTCTCCCTTGGCTCTTTTCTCAACTTTGCTTTTTGCGTCTGGATTGTTGCCAAGACACCATTAGGTTAGGATACTTTTGGCCAGACTTCAGTCTTCCACCTCCCATCTTGTGCTGATGACTTTTCATAATTGCACTACGTTCTCCTCTGACTCCCTGGCCAGGTATTTAAGATTGTGTATTCTGCTTCTGGTTTTTCTTTCCACTATCCCTCCCTCCCCTCTGTCTCCCAGGAGCCCATTGTTCAAGCCAAGCTGGCTCATTTCGTCTGTCACGGTGCTTGTCTTGGGGGTCTCTTTCCTGACTGTTCTCTGTCCTAGAGTGCTTTTTTGACTCCTGGTGGGACTTGCTGGTGAGATGGATGGGCTCCAAGAATCCCCCAAAAAATCCTGACTTCATCTTGGGGAGGGTGCTGCTGACGCAATAGAAACATGGCCAGAAGCAGGGCTGCCACAGGCACTCACCTAACCCTCGTTCCACGGCGAAGAGTCCTGTCTCCAGGGGCACTGGGAGACCTGAGGCCCATCCTGCCCCATCCTGCTGCTAGAGAAATGTCTGTGGAAGAAAGGATGCTTACCATATGCTGGAGTAGGCCTGTGTGAGCCTGCCCCTGACGTCTCTGCCGACCTGGGACCTGGGACCTGGGACCTGGGATGGTCAGCCTTTCACATGGGCCATACAAAGCCTGCAGGTCAAGCCACTCTGATTCCCTGTTCTAGGTCACAGATAATGTCTTCTGTGGATTTAGAAGAGGGCCCTCTATCTCAAAAGGTAAGACAATCTAAGGACGGGGAGGGAGCATTCCAGAGCCACCCAAGACATCACTCATTAGCAGGGGGGTCCAGTGGTTTCCACTCCAGGGTTGCAAAGCCAGGCATTTATAGGTCCAGGTAGGTGACCTCAGTGCACTGCAAGCAGGCTGCTCTTGGCTTTGAAACAGTGCATGAGCCAGTGCCCCCGAGGCTACCCACCTGCAGTCAGTGCATGCACTGTATTGAATTTTTCCAGCAGAATTGTGATAGTGGTGGGATAGGCTGTATGAATTGTTAAGCCAGATATGTATCATCTATTAAGTCAGACAGGAATCGGGAGAAAGCTACCATCTGCTGGTTTGCTCCCCAAGTGCCTGCAATGGACTGGGCCAAAGCTGGGATCTGGGAATTTCACCCAGGTCCCCCACATGTGTGGCAGGAACCCAGTTGAGTCATTGTCACTGCCACCCAGGGTCTGTGCTAGCAGGAAGCTGGAGTTAGCAGCCAGAGTTGGAGTGGGTAGCAAGCCTTGGCACTCCACTATGTAACATTGGTATCTTCAGCACTAGGCTAAATGCCTGCCCCTGTCCTTCGGCTGTTTGAACTAAACTCCTCTGACTGCTGTAGGCCCTGGGCAGTGCCTCTCAGCAGGCAGCACTGCCCGCTTGTCGTCGGTGGGCATCTGCTTGTCCTCCAAGGCATCTCAGGGAGGCAGCCTTTAGTGACGGGGAGCACTGTGCTGCTGAGACAGGCAGGGGCTGGGAGAAGCAGCGTTTCTGGGTCTGGGGGGTTGGGGAAGGCTGAATAGAGGAAGGGAGCTAAGGGGAAGCCCAGATGGAGGGGTCTGCAGGAGCTGTGTGTGCTGTGGGGCGGCCAGGAAAGGGGCAGGTGAGGCTATGTATGGCCCAGGTGAGACACCTGGGCTGCTCAGAACCATATCACATTGGCTTCCCTGGGTCTTGAATTTTGACCGCTGAAGATTTGAGATTACTTAGCAAACTGGAGCAGCTTAGAGTCCTGTTAGGAGGGAGGCCTTGGCTGTGTCCTGTAGCCTTCCTGAGCTTTAGTGGTGGCATCTGTTCTGTAGAATGGGAGTGATGGTTAACCCTCCAAGGTCAGGGGAAGCAGTCTGGATTTTTTTCTTGACCTCCCTAGGGCTAAAAATAGTTAAGACTTACTTGCAAAAATTTCCTCTTTAAATAGATGTGCTCAAACATGTTTGGTTCAGTCGATTAACCCCCTGTGTCCCTGGCTCTTGTAGTCAGATTCATTTCAGCTGTCTGCCTTAAGTGAATTTGGGGAGGACAGGGAGGCGGTCAGCTCCTCGACGTCATCCTTCACCTTCAGCCCGATGCCTGCAGTCCAGCACAAGTCTCACTTGTTTATTGAGGTACCACTGGCCAAGGTGGAGAGAATATTTGAGGAGGGTCTCAACAAGGCTGGAGGTAAAGTTGCACTGTAGGCTCAGTCTCTGTGACTCCTGCAGAGTGGGACCCGGTACCTGGGGTGTGTGGAGGGCGTAGACCTGACAAGCAGTTTTGCGTTTAGTGTCTACTTTAAAACTTTTAATTTTGGGGCCAGAGTTGTGGTATGGCGGATTAAGCCACCAGTTGTAACGCCAGCATCCCATACTGGACTGTGAGCCCTGGCTGCTGTGATTCCAATCCAGGTCACTGCTAATGTGCCTGGGACAGCAGAAGATGACTCAAGTACTTGGGCCACTTGCCACCCACGTGGGAGACCCAGAAAGAGCTCCTGGCTTTGGCCTGCCACCACCTGGCCGTTGCAGCCATTTGGGGAGTGAACCAGCAGATGGAAGATCTTTTTCTCTCTGTCACTCTGCCTTTCAAATCAAACAGAAATCTTTAAAAAGCAAGACAAAGCAATATGTTTAAATTTAAGGATTGTAGGGTAAGCTGTTGACTGTGATGCTGGCATCTCATGTGAGTGCTGGTCGAGTCCCAGCTGCTCCACCTCAGTCCAGCTCCCTGCTAATGCACCTGAGAAAGCAGCAGCAGATGGCCCAAGTCCATGGGCCTCGCAACCCATTTGGGAGACTGGGATGAGATTCTTGGCTTTGGCCTGGCCCAGGAGCAGCCATTGTAGCCATTTAGGAGGTGAACTAGCTGGTGGAAGATTGATCTCTCTCTCTCTCTAACTCTGCCTTTCAAATAAATAAAATGAATCTCTTAAAAAAGGAGTTCTAAGCACACTGAAGGTGACTCGGGGTCGAGCAAGATTTCAGTAATACTCCCTGTGCAAACATCCAGATGCAGCAGTGTCGTCACCTGGTGGTCTTCTTCCAGACGCTGTAATGTGAGTGCGTTACTGCCTGTGCTGTTGAACAGTATTCCAGCCCTAGTGGCTTAAGTCTATTACCTCCGTCTCAGAGGGTCACGAGTGTGGCCACAGCTTAGCTGGCTTCTCTGTTCGGGGTCTCCCAAAGCTGCAGGAAGTTTTCAGCGGCTGTGATCTCTTCTGGGACTTCACCAGGCAGGGACACACGTCCAGGTTCACTCTGCTTGTTGATGGAGTTCATTTCCTTGCAAATGTAGGACTGAAGGCATCTGTTTGCTCCTGGCTGTGAGGGGGAGGACTCAGCTTGTAGGGACTCCCACAGTTCCTGGCCTTGTAGGATTCACCAGCCTGGCTCCTTGCAAGGCTCAAGCCAACAAGAGAGAGATTCCAGCAAGATAGATGTTATAGTCTCATATAGCATGTCTCATAGGGTTCACGGAGATGGCTGAAGCAGGGTTTTCACTTCATGAAAGAAAGAATTCAGGTGTGGAACAGAGTAGTGGTAAGCAAGGTAGGAAGGTTTAATGGGGTAGGGTATCCATCAGAACAGGTGGGCATCTTTCTGGATGAAATCAGAGTGCCCACCCATTCAGACCGGGGCAGGAAAGGTTGCCAAGTTTAGTGGAGAGAATACACCTGACAGGCCAGGCGGGCGTCTCAGCTGCGAGCTGAGGGACACACAGCTGGTGGAGCAGCAGGCATCTCAGGAGCGAGCCGGGAGCACAGTCTGCGTTCAGACTGCGGCTCGTGAGGCAGTGAGATCCTGTTCTTCCTGCTGTTTCTCTTTGCCCCCACTCTCTTCTCCTGGACAGAGCATTTCCTTAGTGTGAAATGGGCGAAGCTCTTCCCAAGGTTGTATTACCCAATGTTATCAGACTAGGTAGCCCTCTTGGTGCTGGGCACAGAGGATTCTGGGGTGCGTCCTTGGGAGGAGGGCTGAGTGGGCTCACTTGCACAGCCATGGGGGTGTGGGCAAGACTTTGTAGCGTGGAATCAAGGCGCCTCCGAGGCGGCCGGCAGCGGCTGCGTTCCTCTGTGCAGTGCTCTGTTTTCCTGAGGCCCCTTCGCCGCGACAGGCCCACTTCCAGCTTCCTGACTGTCACATCGTGAGCACACAGTTCCGCGCGTCCTGTCGTCCTGTCATCTGTGCGGTGCTGTGTGGGTCCCCCTGCGCTCCGAGGAGGGGGCTTAGACACCTGGGAGCACGCATTAGGGGCCTCCCCGTGTCTCTTCACTGTGGCTGTATCCATACTGTGTGGTCACGCTGCACAGCGTGTGACCGGGTATGTCCAAAAAGCTCCCTGAAAGTTGAAAATGCTGTGAGTCAAACGTGTTGTTGCACCATGCCTGCTGACCGTCAGGGCCTGGCCCGGCCCAGCCCAGCTCACGGTGCGCAGGACACTTAGATCGCCTACAGCTGGGCAAAACCAGCGACCTCAGAGCCGGTCCTTCACTAAGTGTAGACTAGCCCACAAGTCAGAGCGGTGCTGAGTGTGAAGAGCGCAGTGGTGTGGGTGTGTGTGCACCCCTGTCCAGTGGCTCTGTCCTCAGGGACTGTCTGCCTGTGTCGTTGGAGCCCCTCCCTCTTACCTGATGACTCTTCATCTCTCAAAGACTTTTTCGTATTGTTGCAGTCTTCCAAGCCACCATTACTACTGTGTCCAAGTGTCCCACTGATTAAGCCATTTCTGTATTTTAGTTTACTTAAGCTTTATTGATTTGAAACACTGTTTTTGAGGCTAGTCTTTGTACATCTGATTTCTCTGTTATAAACTTGATTTTTTTCTTCCTTAAGATGATCCTCTTAAAAGTCAAATCATAGGAGTATGTAAAAGGAATCTTGCTTTTTTTTTTTTTTTGACCGGCAGAGTTAGAGACAGAAAGATCTTCCTTCCGTTGGTTCACCCCCCAGATGGCTGCTATGGCTGGTGCGCTGCGCTGCTCCGAAGCCAGGAGCCAGGTGATTCCTCCTGGTCTCCCATGGGGTGCAGGGCCCAAGCACTTGGGCCATCCTCCACTGCACTCCCGGGCCACAGCAGAGAGCTGGCCTGGAAGAGGGGCAACTGGGACAGAATCCGGCGCCCCAACAGGGACTAGAACCTGGGGTACCAGCGCCGCAGGTGGAGGATGAGCCTAGTGAGCCATGGCGCCGGCCAGAGTCTTTCTTTATATCTACTAGGCTATGAGTGTCGATGTTGAGGCCCCGTCAGCTTGCCCTGTTAATTTCTTCTGAGTGTTAAGCCGTGCTTTGAAGTGGGCAGGAAGGCTGACACATGCCTGGTTTACAGATGAGCAAAGTGAGGCGTGGGAGGAGCAGCTTGTGTCTGACGTGAAGACAGCTGCCTCCGTTGCTGCTGGCAGCTGGGAGGCCCACAGCCCATGGGCGTCTAGTCACACAGTTCGGAATTCAAAAGGCACATTTCTCGTGATACCTTCTCAGCACCCAGAGGCAATGTTCCCTCCCCCGCCGTGCTGCCCAGATGTGTCCTGAGACCTTTAGACTCCAGAAGTGGATTTACTCATGTCTCCTCCTTTTCATAGGCACTTGCAGCTCTGTTGCACTTGCTCTTTAGGCAGAGTGACAGGAACAGAGATTTTCCATCTGCTGGTTCACTCTCCAAATGGCCACAGCAGCCAGGGCTGAAGCCCGGAGCTAGGGGCTTCTTCCAGGTCCCTACATGGGTGCAAGGGCCCGAGGACTTGGGCCATTTCCTGTTGCTTTCCCAGGCGCATTGAGCAAGGAGCTGGATTGGAAGTGGAGGCAGTAGGATTGAGTCCAGGCACTCTGATACAGGATGCAGTGACCCAAGCAGTGGCTTAACACGCTGTGCCACAATCTCTTGCCTCTAGAAAAATTAATTTTTAACAAGCCCCTGCCTTTCTTTTTATATGGCATATCTTGGAGATATTTTCATATGAATGTAAAAACAACTTCCTCATTAAAAAAGAACCATAGTGTTAATTGGAGGAAAGGAAATTTCACCTTTTATTGACATAGGAAAAGAAAATATGATAATTTTTCTCTGTTAGAGGTCTTACAGGCGGTGGGCTAGGAACCTGGGCTTGACAGCATTCCACAGGCCCAGGCCGACCGTGTGGCCTTGAGGGAGAAGGGGACACCTGGGGTTCTGCCGGCTCAGCAGGTTGCCTTTTCCAAGCCTCAGTACTTTTGTAGGTTGACCTTTTTTTCTTTTCATTTTTTTTTTATTTGAAAGGCAGAGACAGAAAGAGATCTTCCATCCACTTATTCATTCTCCAAACGCCTGTAATAGCCAAGGCTGGACCAGGCTGAAGCCAGAGCCCGAAGCCAGCCTGGAAGCCAAGAACTCAATCTGGGTCTCCATGTAGGTGGCAGGAGCCCAACTATTTTTTTTTTTTTTTTTAATTTTTTTGAGAGGCAGAGTGGACAGTGAGAGAGAGAGACAGAGAGAAAGGTCTTCCTTTGCCGTTGGTTCACCCTCCAGTGTGATCCGATGGCAGGAGCCAGGTGCTTCTCCTGGTCTCCCATGGGGTGCAGGGCCCAAGCACTTGGGCCATCCTCCACTGCACTCCCGGGCCACAGCAGAGAGCTGGCCTGGAAGAGGGGCAACCGGGACAGAATCCGGCGCCCCGACCGGGACTAGAACCTGGTGTGCCAGTGCCGCAAGGCGGAGGATTAGCCTAGTGAGCCATGGCGCCAGCTGAGCCCAACTATTTGAACATCCCTGCTGCCTCTCAGGCTGCGCACCAGCAGAAAGCTGAAACTGAAAGCAGAACTTGAACCGAGACACTCCTGATATGGATGTCCTAAGTGGTGCCTTTTTTTTTTTTTTTTTTTTAAAGATTTCCTTATTTATTTGAAAGGCAGAGTTACAGAGAGAAAGGGAAGAGAGCTTCCATTTGCTAGTTTACTCCCCTGATGTCCACAACAGCCAGGCTGGGCCAGGGCAAAGCCAGGAGCTTCATCTGGGTCTCCCACATGGGTACAAGGCCCCAAGTACTTGGACCACCTTCTGCTGCTTCCCCAGTCACATTTGCAGGGAGCTGGATCAGAAGTGGAGCAGCTGAGACTTGAACCAGCGCCCATATGGGATGCCGGCACTCAGAGGTTTTTTTTTTTTTTTTTTTAAAGTACAATTTTATTGTCAGAATTTCTTTTTTAAAGATT